ATTTTAGGCGTGTCGAATTTTCGCATAAGCGGAAAGGGCATTTTTGCAGTAAACTATGGAATCGTTGCTGTGAAGTTTGCATTAAGCCAAAAAAAAAGCAAGAATGTTCTCCATTTGACTACGCTTTAGAGCTGTGAATTATGTAGAACTACTGACGAGACTTGAATCGGGTTACGCTCAAAGGTGGATGAGTTTGGAGTCAAAATTCATTTTTTGTACGAGTCATGATAATGTGCATGGTGATATGTTCAGCGTATTTTATTACAGGTCATGTCTCTGTGCTGGAATAAGACTTTTTTGAAGATGACATCAAGCTTCCAGAAATTATGTCACAGTCGTGATTTTGAAGAAAGCTACACGCCTGTGCTACAGTCCGCGTCCGATGGATTCTTCATGAACGATTGCTTGTTAGTTTTTTTTTTTTTTTTTGTACATCTTATAAAAATAGCCAAATTATGGCCGTTCTGCATTCGCACGAATGCAGCTCTCCTATGCACTCATTCCTCAAATACCACAGTTCGTTTGGAGAGAATTTTGTGGTATTTTTTTCTTTTTTTTTTACTGATTTGGCGTTTTTTCGAATGGGAAATCAAAATGTAAATTTCGTTCAAACGGTGAAGCTCTTTTCATAGTTGTTAATCACTTTTTTAAATTCTGCCCTGTGATGACGATATGGTTACAAATACTGACTTTGGACCAAAACGGTAGGCGACGAAATCTGAATCACATTTCTCGTAATCCACTCATATAGGCAAGTATATGGATGACTTACGAGAGTTATAGACATTGTGTGAATGGTTCACCGTAAGAGAAGCAATAATACTAAAAAAAATTGTGATAACAGTAAGAAATGTATACGACTTGATGGACTGAAACATTTTTTACTAGTATAATAATTTTACTAATTTCGTAACCCTCATTTCTTATCTTTCTTTTTGATTCTTTTCCTTATTTCAACTGTTGTTAATATTCCTTTCTATTAAATACTGTAATTGGGAAATTTCTCAAACTGATGAATTTTCAGGTCAGCAGCGCTTGGAGTTGAAATTGTCGCAATTCATCATGGCAATTTGGTCAATTCTGGCACATTTCTGTCTCATTTCAGTCGATACAGTCCCACCGAGGAGCTCAGGGAAAGGCGTTGTGCTGCGCTGCTCTCTGCTTTATCACCACGTACAACCGATAGTGCTATGACTGCTGATTTCGAACACGACTGTAATCAGTTCGTTGTTCGTGTTGCTGTTTTAGACGGTGGGTTGTTTTCTGTCTTTCTGCGTCAAA